AAGGCATTTTGTTCCTTCCTCTCCTTTAGTCTGTTCCTCACTTGCAGTAATGTCTAGCATGAATGTTGTCATTATTTGCAAATCTTTCAGATATAAGTCCCGAAATGCCGAGTCAAGTATTAGTGAGAAGAGCATTGCGGTATTGTAGTGAACTATTCCTTAGACTAGTCTTTGTTAACCTTCATTTATTTTGTGATTTCACACTTGCCAAGCTGGGTCAAGGGATCCCTGGTGTGAGCCACAAACACAATATTTGGAGATAGTTAAAAATTTGGTGATGTAACCATTATCAATATCTTTGCATGGGCGTCTGGTAGAACAAAGACCAAGACCATAAATTATATTTTGGTTGGTGCATCTTTTTAAAGCAATTTTTTTTTTAATGAGGTTGCAGTTGTTTAAGTAGATGGAGAAAAAGTTCATAAATTTTCAGGGTGTATAGAAACGTTAAGATTTTCCTTTCTATTTAGTTGACTGTAATTCAACTTCTGAATAATATACATTAAAGGAAATTTTTGATGCATTTTTAAAGCTTGTCTAGGTATATCTGGTTGTATAAAAAGTGAAATTGCCATTTTCGTAGATTGAAATGGATAAATATTGGTAATCTGGAATGATTCAATCAACTCAAGTTTTTTTTTTTTAATGTGTCAAGTGGTAGCTTCAGAGGGAGTTAGCTTTCACCCCAGGATAGACAGCGTTTCTCTTGTCTGGTCTTAGGCTTATGTAATGTCAGAGAAAATGCTCTCATTTTCTTAGGACTGAAACAGTAACACAGGTAATACTACATAAAGATAATATCCAAGAATGGTGTTGAAAAAGAGTCAGCTATAAAGTTAATTTCAAATGTATATAAATGCACTTATTTTTAAAAATTATATTTTATCTGAAAAGGATTTAGGTTTGAAGTGCCGTATAGTTACCATATTTTTATTCATTTAGCTAGGCTGGGTTTCTTCTCTTAATATACATACATACATTTTGAGGCATATATGATGCCCCCCCACAAACACATCAAAGACCGTTGGTATTAAATATATGAAGGTTTTATATAAGCAAGAGATAATAGATAAGCTGACTTTCCAGTTTTAGTTCTTAGTGCCATTATTAATGATAATCTGTAATAGAAACAGAAAAGTCTACACTGATAGCATGTGATCTATTTTTTAAATTAAAAAAAAAAACCTCAGCTCCTTTTATTATATGCACAGATAGCCTAAATGTTCATCACTGATTTTAAATGGGAAATTTTAATGGTAATTTCTGTTCTTACAAGGTATCTCAATGGACTATTTTAATTTAGAATAAAATATCTTATGACAACATATTTTTTAATACCTAATGATAATACTTATTGGCCAATCAATTTGCTCAAGGAAAGATAAACAGCATTTTAAATAGAGGAATGATATTCATTACACTAAATAAAACCTTGAGTTAAATCACGGATTGTGGTAACAGGTTGAATGTGTCTGAGCAAGCCTGGTTAGCTGCAGGAACCAAGAAAAATGATGTAATTAGTTGTGATTTTTTTTTTTCTCAGGTGACACTGAAAAGCTTTCTTTTATGGGGGTGGAGGCAGCAATGCTGTGAGGGAAAGAATTCTATCACAGAGGGTTTTTCGTCATTGAAATATGCATCAGCAACAATGGTGGCAAGCAATCTTAAATCAGAAAAATGTTTAGTGGTCTATCGGTTTGTAAATGTATATGAATATAATATTTATGATTTAGGTTTTTTTCTTGAGAAAAAGATTTAATTTTCTTCACTCTCAATCTTCTGTTTCTCTCAACTCTGCCTATCTTATGACACCTTTTCTATATAAGTTTGTTGTTAGAAAGTTACATTTGAATAGAAATGCCCTGTCGATATGTGCGTGGGTAGTAACTGTGAAATTTCTGGAGGAGCAATTTGACAAGCAGATAAAATCCTTAGAGATTTTTCAAGAGTTTAAGTGGAGAGACTTGATAATCTATCTAAAGAAAAGCAGTATTTTGTGTTAGTTCTTATTCTGTTTTTCTTAGACTGCGTCGGATTTTCTTAAATAATAATTCAGTTATTACAGAGTTTTCTTCCATTTGCAAGATGCTTTTCAGTCCTTTCTTAAAATTTAGACCTAGTCTTTTCTGCTACATGTCAAAAAGACTTAAAATTCATGTCAATGTTTACTCATATTACCTTGCAAATTCAACTGGATGTAAAATGGAGTGGTTCATTAACTAATTGTAATTTCATATGTTTGAAAATATATATACTTGATGCTTAAGCACTTACAGAGATCATCCATAAGAAATATATTTTTCTTCATAGTGAGAGCCCTCCTCCCCTCTCAAGCTTTAAAAGGCTAACTTTTACCCTGATTTAAGTATACGTGTTCAGTCGGAGAGAGAGAGAGGATAATTTAAAAGTATGGGTGACTTCACCCACCAGCCATTCTGTTCAATGAACCCATGCTTGATGTGCAACGGAAATGGGGAGGATTAATCTGCTGCTCCATCCATTTCCACCACCCTCCCCAAAGGTGAGCATCTCAATGTGCTGAGGGGAGTCTAGTATTTTAATAAACATATTTAGTTGGTAAAACATGGCCTCTACATGAAAGCCACGTACTTCGTCTTGTGTTCAGCCAAAATAATGGTATTCTAGTACTGAAGAAAAAAAAAGGAAAAAAGAAGAGTGTTTTGAATTTGGTCTTTACGATGGTCATAATAAACCTAGCATCATCTGTCAGCAAAATCGAGATCCATAGTCACAAAATCATGCAACAAGGACTCCAACTACTGCAGAGGGGTTGAGCAAAGTGAATAGATTTTGATGAAGATTTAACAGGTGCATATTTATGACTTGTAACCATGCAACTGTTCCTAGAGTATTTTGCCAAATCTCATGAGAAAATATGTGAATCATTTATGGGTTGCTAATTAGTAGTGAATTGGTGAATACACATTTGGGTTGCCAGAGTAGTGGGTGACCATCTCTTCGTGGACAGCCCTAAGGAAGGCGTTGCTGAATTAGGAGAGGTGTATGGAGGAAAGCTGATGAATCAGTGAGTAAAGGGAGCAATAACACTGTATACAGAAAAAAGAAAACAGCAATGAACAGAAACAGCCAGCAGGCTGGAGTCTTCATACATTGGCTGAACTGTTCCCAACACCCACAACCCTGATGGATTTAATTTCTGAACCTGAACATTTTATGAAATAGTCCAACATTTACATGTAGTATACCAGAAATTTTTAAATCAGCACAGGATAACAGCCACAGTGTCACTCACTATTTTCCTAGTATAAAAAGCCAGCAGCTATGAATCTGTGCGGTCAGTTTCAACCACTAACTTCTCCAATACCAAAGCCCCATCTACCACCACCTCAATGGAATCAATCCTTGGTGACTCTCAGGGCCTGGGTCACTAGCAGATGTAGATGATCAATGTCAATGTGATCAGGACCCAGTTTCATCATTTCAAACAGCAACATATAGCCAAAGTTTAATGGTCATTTTTCATCCTTCGCTCCATACCGCTAACCTATTTGTCATTTCAGCATATCTTTAACTTATTAAAACCAACAAGAATACATAAACTAAAGGAGAGTTACAGGTTTATTTTGTTTTCCCTGTCAATGTTAATGTCCATCTGTATAATTATTATTGACAAGAGAGCCCATCATCATATCCTTTATATATTTATATATACATACTACTATAAGGGTGCCTATGCACAAGCATATACTGTATATTGTACTTAATATACAGTATATTTAATATACAGTGAAGCTTGTAGGCTGACTAAAAGTCTCTTCAGACATTTTTTTAATAAGATTATTTTTATCTTGAAAGATGACTTTACAACCTAACTCTCCCATAAGCAGACATCATCCCTGAAGAAGACACACCACTACAATAAATGAAAAAAAAAGGCAGCTTTGGGTTTGAGAAATTAGAAAATATTGGCCTACAGTGACATCAGTGCCAGATGCTGGCCTGAGGACTTTACATAAATGAACTAATTGACTCTTCACAATAACCTTAAGTGGTATTAACATTGAGGAAACCAAACATCAAATAGGTTAATTGACTAGACCAGAGTCACATAGTAGTAAATAGTAGAGCTGAGTTCAGTACAATCAGAATGAGTCCAGGTTCTGAACATTTGACCCCACTCTCTGCACTGGATGTCCACAGCTGCCTGCCTGGCAGCTACGCTCCTTCGAAGGACTGCCTCCACAACATATTTCCCCTGCACTCATCAGCTATGTTCTGTAATTTATGGTTGTGTTCCTTCCCACCAACTCTGGCTTCTTTTCCTTTGCCAGATATGGAAAACTTTTTCAAGAGCAACCAATCCCTAAGTGCACTAGCAATCTATGACTTGTAAGTCATGAACTGAATCCGAGTTGGTTGAGTTGGCCTTCTCTCTTGAAATCTGGGATAGGTGATTCTCAGCATGCTCTGAGGATCTCTTTATCCTGCAGCACATTTTATAATAACCGTGCCGCCCCATCTTCCAGCTACTCTGGGCAAATCTCTATTCTTTGCAATCAAAAGACCTCTAAATAAAACAAATCTTCAGATCCTTTTAGGAGTCTTACATAAAGAGGCTTAGTGCTAAGAAATTTTCCTTGAGTTTAACCTGGTGGGTGGAAGCTGAACCAAATGTATATTTAATGTATTAAATTTCAACTTTGATGCCACTCTTCAGTATATCCTTGATAATTTTGATTTTTTCCTTCACTGATCTTTTATTTTATACAATTTGAATAAGTTTGTCCCCAAATCACTGCCTACCAGTAAATATTGGTAGTATAATATTTGGGGAACCACTGCAAAAAAATTAAATAGACAAAGTGTGTCTGGTTTATTAATAGATTTATCATCTTTAATATGTCATTGAAGTCTGTAGACTAGTGGCTAAGAAAATAACAGAAACATCATCAAAAACCGTTAAGCAGTCATTTAACTATAAGAATGAATAATCTGCTTCTTAGATGTTGGCTACTTACAGACCCGTGAAAAGGGAACTGGTTTTGTCCATCTAGTGGACAGAATTAATCTCAGCAAATACTGTCGCAAATCATCTCTTCAGCTGCCATTTCCACATTTGGATAACAAAGCTAGAAGAAACATAGAGAATCAGATTTTATAAAGCATATAGGATAAATCTGTCCTAAGATTTGACAGCTGTGCTTTTGCTAACATTGTGCTTAACCTCAAGTGTCCTCCTGGGTATAAGAAATTACTTTTACCCCTTGTTGATTTTAAATGTAGTTCTATGACATCTATCAGTAGGAAAATTAGTTACATTTTTAATCAAGTTGAATAGATAGTCTCAGAACTTCTGCATTGTTGTGGTTATGTCTGCTGTGGTTTAGCTACAACATTTCAGAATTTCATCATTTTATGTTTTCATTGGATCAGTTGCTGATTATTTTTTTTTTTTTTTTTTTTTTTTTTAGTATCTGTGGTACTGTTTATCTCAGAGATCCAAAATATTAATAACACATTTCTAATGTCTTGTTAGGATGATGGATATGAAAAGAGTTTTCACAATATCATTAAAATGAGTGAATTCACCTTTTCAAATGAAAGTGCTTGATATAGTTACTTCATTAACTCCTTGAATGAAAATTTAAATATTTAAAGAGACTAAATGAGAATTACAGCGTGATAGATAGATATTGATGGTGTCCTTGGAGTGATGACTTCTAAGAAATGGTTTTTAGAAATTAATTATTCTTTAATTAATCAGACGACAATGGCTCGTAAGGGATTCATAGGATACAAGAGAGAACTTCTAGTTTGTCAATTGCAAACTCCATTTTCCCCCAAGCAAAAACCCCTTCCCACCATTCAAAATGTTTGACAGTTTTCTTTTTCATACATTGAAGGCAGACTGTCTGGCTTACTTTCAAAAATCCTTTTGGATAGCATCCATATTGACAGGTGGCACAGCTGTGGATTAGCTGACATTATAAAAATAATTTATGTTTTTCCATGTGCTTTCAAGTTGTGACCATTGTCTTGGATATTCTTAATCCAACAGTAACTTACTTCTTTGTACTGTGAAAAATACAAAGAAAAACAAAAGATAACTGATTTTTTATCCTTGAATTGTGAGTGGGAAATACAACTTTGGTCAATGATGAGAGTCAGTTCCTCATTGGTGTCTGTTTATAGAGTTCAATAGGGAATTAAATTATAATATGAAGAAATTGGAGGTCAGAGAAAAAAGGAAGAATGACCGTTGACTTTTAAATGTTGTGTGTGTTTTTTTAAACTCTTGGCTTTAAATGTATTAGAAGATGTCAACATATGAGAACATTAACTGCTATATATAACCAGATTCATTTCCAAAAGAAAGAAAGACACTTTCTCGGGATGGGCGCGGTGGCTCACACCTGTAATCCCAGCACTTTGGGAGGCCGAGGAGGGTGGATCACAAGGTCAAGAGATCGAGACCATCCCGGTCAACATGCTGAAACCCCGTCTCTACTAAAAATACAAAAATTAGCTGGGCATGGTGGCGCGTGCCTGTAATCCCAGCTACTCAGGAGGCTGAGGCAGGAGAATTGCCTGAACCCAGGAGGCGGAGGTTGTGGTCAGCCGAGATCGCGCCATTGCACTCCAGCCTGGGTAACAAGAGCGAAACTCCGTCTCAAAAAAAAAAAAAAAAAAAAAGAAAGACACTTTCTCATATTGTTAAATTGTTTAATGTTTTTGGACTTCTATTTTTATCACATGAGAAATCATGAGTTTTAGTATACTTACTTCCATCAAAGAGAGGAACTGGGTGGACTTTATCCCTGAGAATGATGCTAGAAACATATAAGAGATTGTTCATATTGCCTCCTATTAGGGAGTGATCATGCTTTTTCTTGCTTATCAAGTAAAAATGAGGCAAGTAAAATATTTTGTTAATTAGCGTTTTTCACTGACTCACAATAGAACTTTCAATTTCTAGGAAATGATTTTCTACAAAATGATTTTACAGCAAGTGATTGTTACGATTGCAATGAATACTCCCCATTAGAAGGGTTATTTGAATGGTGAATTACCTATTCTTTCTTAAAAAAATAGAATATGGAAGGAAAACTTTGCATCTGTATGTATTATCTGATTGTTATTTTATGCAAAAATGTTTAGTAAATAATTCAAATTAAGAACTAGTACGTGGCCAAATTTCCTTCCCCAAAAAACTTGACATCTTTTTTTTCTTAATTGTTTTGAGATTTTTCTACACATTTCCTGTGTTGGTGGATATCTACTTTCATTTTTAACAGTCTATACCATACCAATTTTTCAGTTCTGTTTAGTTATTGAACATCTGAAATGTAAGTAATTTTACTAGCATCATTTATTTTTTCAAGGAAAATACTAATAATAATAGCTAAAGTTTAAGAATCCAGGCACTGTTCCAAGCATTTCATGTAAAGTGTCTAATGTGAATATCTCTTAACATTAGTTAATAAATGTTGATTACAGGTTTTTTAAACAAATATCAAACGTTTTTTGACTTTATGGTCACACTATTTATTCAATGGCAATTGGGTTCACACGCTAGAGGAAACTAAGAGAAAACCTCACACAAACATCCAGAGAGAAAGAGAATTGTCATGCAGGAAAATGAGATGGTCTTTCATTTCAGTTCCTGGAAAGATTATGAGGTGGGCCGAAGGGAGAGTGAGCCAAATGATTGCTCCATTTTTCTTTTTTTTTTCTTTTTTTTCTTTTTTTTTTTTTGAGACGGAGTTTCGCTCTTGTTACCCAGGCTGGAGTGCAATGGCCGATCTCGGCTCACCGCAACCTCCGGCCCCTGGGTTCAGGCAATTCTCCTGCCTCAGCCTCCTGAGTAGCTGGGATTACAGGCATTCTCCACCATGCCCAGCTAATTTTTTGTAATTTTTAGTAGAGACGGGGTTTCACCATGTTGACCAGGATGGTCTCGATCTGTTGACCTCATGATCCACCCGCCTCGGCCTCCCAAAGTGCTGGGATTACAGGCTTGAGCCACCACGCCCGGCCGATTGCTCCATTTTTCTAGTTGAAAGTGTATTTTTGCCATAATCAGGGAATTTACATTCTAATTTTGGAACCATGGACTGTACATTTGGCAGTAAAGAATTGTATTTATTTTTCTTCAAACACCTTTCAATGTTTTGCAAGTAGAAATCGTTATTAAAATAAGGATTGAGCATTGTTTGAGCAATGGAACTCTTAGATATGACGCTGAATGTGCTTTGTCCATTTAAAACCAAACATAGGCTTTGAGAATCTCTGTCTTAAATAGTACCCATATATTACCAAAGCCAGATTATGTAGTGGTTTATTGTCTCAGAGATTTTATTTTAGCCTTTCATCAAGTTAAAATAAAAAACTCTTTTAGAAAAGAATGCTTTGAAAACTAGTCATAGAATAATTGAACTTAAAACATTTTAAATTCCTGCTCAACCATTCACAGTAGAAAGTTGAAAATAATTCGTAAGATCTAGAATCCAGAAACCATGCACTCAGATTGTCTCCATGAATTTTAAACAGGTAGGAGAGCCGGCAGTTTTTCACTTGACCATCATAATGAGTGGCTAATTTACTTTTGGTTTCCCAATCAGATGACTTTTGTTAAAACCCTGGCTCCTTTTCTCTACCTTAATTTTCTATATAACTTAATCTGTATTATTCATGTTTTTCCATGTACTTTCAAGTTGCGACCACCTTCTTGGATATTCTTAATCCAACAGTAACTTACGTCTCCGTACTGTGAAAAATACAAAGAAAAACGGAAGATAACTGATTTTTTCAAAATCTTCATTTTGAGAATTTTCTCTACCATTGTCTTTGGGTTTAGGCCATTTAATGTGAGTTAGATGTAACAATAACTAGGCAAAAGCGCCTTTTATAATTCCTGGCACATAGCAAGGGTTTGGTAAATGCCGATTCCTTCTTCACGTTTCCTTTCCTCTCATCCTAACACATGTACCCATTGAAAAAAGGGGAGCAAGCAATTTTCTTTGAGTCAGAAAGTCAGAATTAAAGTAACTTTTTAAAATTGTTATAGCAGTCATTTCTTAAATGTTTATCACTTAATATATGGCATCTCTCTCTCTCTCTTTTAATGTATCTGTTATGCTATAGCTCCCTTCTCAAAGTACCAATCCCTGAAGGGTAAAGGTTTTATCATCTGTTCATGAACCCAACCTGCGAAGTGCTTTTTAATACAAACCCATTCATAGCTGAGATGACTACTACTGATAACGATGCTAATGATAAAGAAGAGCAGGAGGAGAAAGAGAAGGAAGAGGGGCAGGGAAAGCAAGAAGAGGATAAAGGGGAAGAAGAAGAGGTCACTGAACAGACTAAAGGAAGAATAACCCCCAAATTTTCCCCTAAATAGAGACAGATCTACCAGAGCAGCTAAACCTGGTTTGAGAGAATGCAGCAAGGACTCCATTTATGCCATTAGGTTTGAATTAAACGTAATCATTTTATTCTTTCACCTGAAATATATTCAGAAGTTTGGTGGTAGCTTTCTAGAAAATAAATAGATTGTGGCAGTGAAGTGAAATGCATTACACTCTCAGGGTCAGCAAATGGTTACTGAAACTTGGAGAACTATGACATAGTACATTACAATATGCTCTTAAAATTTAACAAAGTAGTTTACAAATTTGCTGACACTAGGTTTATTGTGTTCATTCCCAAGTATTGATCAAAGAAAACTAAATTACACAAGAAACAACAGTTTGAGATCATTGAGGACAGTTTAATAAGATAAGGTCTTTTCTAGGATATATTTAGTAATTTTCAAAGTAATGAATTTTAAAAATAGCATGCTAGTGAGTAATCAGTTTTCTTTTGTCTTCTTTTGTGCTTTACTTTAGTTTTTGTATTTTTATTGGTATATAGTCCTACACAATTGGCTGTTATTTTAGATGGGAGCAAGAAATAACACAGTCTGAAAACAGAGCTCTGGCAAATAGTATCTGAAGAGTATTTCCTTCTAATCTTCCGATGTTCATCATATTCTCCCTACAGTTTTGGTGTACTTATTTTTTTACGTATGAATCACTGCTTTGAGTTTCGAGAGGAACTTGTGATACCATTATTTGGTGGAATTTAGAATGAATTCTTGTTAAACAACTGAAATAACTTCATGTTTTATAGGCCAGTTATGTACTCAAGGTGAAAAGTATAATCTTGAAGAAGATAAGATTATTAATTTATGTAAGTGTTATTTTTAGATAGTTAATTTTTGCAACACTCCATGAAAATTTAATTCACAAAGGGATGGCAAGCATGTATTTCCATGACTGATCTCTACAACACCTTTGAGCACCTTTGTGCCCCCTCCCAAAGGTCTAACAGGAGCTACTAATTTATGACACACGTGATTCTTTCATATCATCTGTGTATTGAGTGACCACTAAATTTACATACATATTAAAAATATGTATGCCCGTTGTTTCTGCTAAACTGGAAGGAAACTTTGTTTCATATTTACACTTAAATCATCAAATTCTGCAATGATGCAAAAGCAACATCAGTGTAACCTAATGATGAGGTCATTTTAGGCAACTGTATCACCCATGCATGTGTCCCCCCAAGCATTCCATAGTCTTTAAAGTATTAAAAATTACAGTGTATTCATCTAAGTCTCAATTTTTTAAAAAATGTATCATATCCACTGGTCACTTTATTCCATCTCTTTCAGATTCCTGGAAAATCCTCTCCTGTTAACTGACAAATTTATTTTGCTTCAGCCTTTAGATATTCATAGATTTATTTTTAAATGTCGACTGAGTGATCTGTTACTTATTTGACTACCTTATAGATGTATTAGTTTGAACCATGTGAAATTACTAATTTTAAACACTTCTGATCTACAAAATGGCTATTCATTACACCTATAATATTAATGTGCCACATTTAAAAAGTTTTTAGGCCAGGCATGGTGGCTCACACCTGTAATCCCAGCACTTTGGGAGGCCAAAGTGGGTGGATCACCTGAGGTCAGGAGTTCGAGATCAAGCTAGCCAAT